CCAATCACCCCTTACCTCTTGTTCTAGTTCTTTTAGAGAGGTGGAATTTGGCCCAGTGAAATGTTCTGCACAGCCAGGCTCATCTTGTCCCAACAGTAACTCATCATAAGGGAAACCTTTCTTCTCGCTGATAACGCTGTAGATGTACTGCCTCCAGATCGGCATACTCGTCAGTAGTCCGTATGCGTAGAAAAATATTACAGGTTCCACCGTCAGGTAGCGCCTCCATGTCGGAAGGATTTTTCGAGTCATGATCATGTTAAGTGAATTCTCAGCGTCCTCCAGCTAATTACAAGCGGCACAATCTAAAGAATGCGTGGATAAATTGTCTTAAGGTATTAATCAAAATTGAAAGCCTTTTTTGAAGAGATCTTTTAGTCAACATCAGAGTTCCTTGTTACGTGAATAATGTTCCCAGGGCTTACCCGGCTTTATAAGATAAAGTAGATCCTGGTGACGAGTAAATGCCTTTCTTTCAAGGGTACGCATCGGTTTGGTGTAATCTTATCATTGCTGTTTGGAATAACCAGTGATCGACTATAACTGACCGAAACCGTTTGTCTTCTATGACGCTGTTCCAAGCTTGTAAAATTTAAAAACGTATATATCAATCCTTATTGTTATTGTTGTTTTCTGTGCTAACTTGTCCGCAAACTTTCGTTTACCTCTCAGCTTTGGTAAGATGCCAATATCGTAGTTTATTTTGTTATTACTAGTACTTGTAAAACAAACCAAACTGTAGACGTCATTTACACAAAAATGCGTGATCGGACACGTCCGTTTTATTGAGGTCGTGCGGAGAGTGATTAAGAGAGTATTGATTGGTTCCTTTGATTGTCTCGCACGAGAAATTTGCGTCAAGCTTTCTATCATGAGGTAAAGACAATAACAAGACAATCGATGATTGTCTCTTAGATGTAGCTTCCAGCGCACATCATTGTGTGGACCCCCGCTCCTCTTCCCTGGTCACCCAAGCAATCGTTGCAATTAGATCCACTGTTTGTTGCACAGTTTCTCTGCCAGGGAGTGAAAAATCTGCTGTTCAATCGTGTTGAGGGTTTCCTTCGTATTGCCCAAAGCTAACATGATTTGCACAGAAAAATGTAAATCACCGAGTGAACTTAAGTGACCGTGCTAGAAAGAAAACAATGGAATTACAAATTCAATCTTAACAAAATCTGCAACGACACCTTGCGAAAAACGAACTTTGGGGGAATGTACGAATACAATTTCTCCGAAATTCATTTTACTACCTGAACATTCACCTTCTAAAAGCTCAACACAACCAAACAACAGTTGGAAAAATTAGTATTCTGGATTACGTGAGCCACAATAGTTACGCAATCGATGATTTAAATTTGGCTGTTTACATTTCAATATTCGTATCAACTGAACAGATTACCACAGGCCTAAGGCTCCTTAATTTACGGAGTCCAGATTTGTCATTGAAGCAAGTACGTGCGACTTATTCTTGCCCCAAAAAGAGCTTAAAATCAGTTTTCCTATTCGATAGGTCGCTTCTGGAAATTTTAGCATGACACAAAACCGTCCGGGTGTCTAGGATTTAAAGGGTATGCATTCCGATATCTATTGATGGACAATGGGAAAATTCCGAGAGCAGGGAGACATCGTGAAACATGAGACACCGAAGTTGCCATCTCTACACAAGTTAGCAGTCCATGCGGCATAAAAAGCTAAGAAAGTTTTCGATAAGTTAGGCTTCAGTTGTCATGATAGAGATTTCGCAAGGATTACGCAGAGTCCTGGGATGTTATTGTACTTTATAGACTAGCAAAGTGGCCACCGGTTTATATGCAATCCAAGAGAGGAGAGAAGTTTACCCAAAAGGTTACAAAGAGACGTCAGCTTGCTAGGCACTGATCTGACCAGGTCATGATAGTAAATAAGTTCCCAAGTTCCCACCGTTCACTTACCTTTTAAACGCTGCCGTACTAAATTATATCTGCGTAGCTCGGAAACGGTAAATGATCCGTCGTTGTTGAACTTCTCTTTGTTTGTGTTTCGGATCACTGCGTCACACAGCATGTTCTTCATTAACATTGTTTTATCCCCCGATATATATCGATTACACTCCGGAACATAGCCAAATTTCGAATTCAGTCCTTAGCCCTGCTAGTCCTGAACTGTGTTATTGGTACATTGATACCATATATCCTAGACAGCCTATATAGACCTGATAATTTTCCATCCACTTGGCGATATAGAGACATCGGATGTTTATCGCACCCCGGGGAATTAAAGAATCCTGCACGTCATGTACTCACAGAGTACCCTTGTCAATCAAAAGAACTCGTAATAACGATATCTGAAAGCACTACAAACTGTCCAATTTGGAAATAATTAGTTCGAGGAATTTTAGACCACGATGGAGTCGTATTTCCTGGTTGGTCTGCTGTACACCAAACTGACCAAATTACTTGTTGATCGACATGTATCTAAATTGATATGAGCTAAGAAAAACTTCACAAAATTTATTGGCTATCAGTAGGCGTGATTATAGCTCATCCATAGTGAATGCACCAATATCACTTTTATGGAGGACAAGGGGTTGCTAAACAGTTACTAAACTCTGTCTGGAAAAAAAAAAAGTCTTGCAAAGCGAGCAGTATGGGTTACTTTTCTGACGGTCCACAGATTTCTATTTCTTTTTTATGGCCAGAACTTTGATGACTTTCAAAATGTAATAACTCAAGTAATTTGACAAGGCTTATTATCGAGCACGCAATTTTTGCTTTTGTTTCGGTCTATAACCTTAAGGCTTCTTAAACCACAACTGACAGCAACAATAAAATTTTAATATCATGAAAAATTTATCACACTGGTTTACAAATTCACCGATTAAAGAAAGTTTACATGTACAATCTCGCACTCATTTGAAGAGGCTCATGGAATTAGCTCCCCTGAGTTCCTCCGTTTCCTCCATAAAATGTCCGTTTTTGTAAGAATGAGTACAACTAAAGATTGTTGTTCTTGTTGTTGTTCTTGTTGTTGTTGTTGTTGCTGCTGCTGCTGTTGTTAACAATCCTATCTAAAAAAATGTACGCTTTTGTAGGAAGGAGTACAACAAAAGATTGTTGTTGTTGTAGTCGTCGTCGTCGTTTTTATTGTTGTTGTTGTTGTTGTTGCTGCTGCTGTTACTGTTGAGCCTGATTGAAACGTACTAGAACTGCAAATCACTGTTGACAAACTTTACAGGAGTTTGAAAACCACTGAGTAGTTGACTTTCGGTACGTTAGACCGCAACAACCAACATTTTGAGAATTAACCTTAAACGGACGATCCACAATATACAAACTGATAACCTTAAGTTAGTAGCCCTGAATATCACGTCAGTTCATATACATTTTTACATGATTGCTTGCCTGAGGTAAGAGACCTGCCTTTGCATATAAGCTGATCTCCGAAGTTTTATTCTTCTATCTTCCAAACTTCAAAGCAAAACGGAATTCTAAATCCGTGTTCTTGGATGGTTGGAAGAAACAATTTCGGGAAAACCTCCAGATAGCTAAGCATTTTGAGATCTCGATTGTTCAGTTGTCTTCACAAGCTCGATATGTTCTGGGCAAACTGTGGGTTTGTCCTCTCCGTTTTTGACTTCTTCTCTGTTGTTTTCTCCTCTTACTTCTTCCTCTTTTTTGTTAGCATCTTCTTTCTTATCCTCCAGTGCTCCTCCCTTTTCATCGAAACGATCAACGACAGGAGGAACGTCTATGCACCTAAAAGAAATTAAAGGGAATTTAGGTTTCGAAATGTTTTAGCTAGCGGAATAATTTGGCCCCAGAACAGCGCACAGGTGTAATTTTTCTATGGTTTGAACTGTTGCTCTGATGGAGTTGTCACTAGGCCTGTACCGATTGTGCTCGTAAAATGCTGGAAAGTTACTCACTGGAATGCCAAATTTTAGTTTTCGCTCTGATCTTCACAATAATTGCTAACGTCGGTCAAGAATAATAGCTTGAAACTTAGCTTTAAAGAGTTGTTCGCAAAGCAGGTGTCTGTGAAGGGAAAACATCGGTTACTTATTAAAAAGTTGAGAACATTCAAGAAAATCGCATTAATTGAAGTTTTCTATCAAAGCATTGGCCTTTTTGAGCTTGATAAGTGCTCTAAACCTACATTTAGCTTAAAAGTTGCTCAGAAAGGCAAAACTTGCTCGAATTGGCTAGAACCGCAAAAAGTTGCTCTAAAAGCCAAAAGTTGTTCAAAGGTTGCCAAGCACAATCGGGAAAGGCCTAGTTGTTACTGGTTTTGACATTGTAACAACGCTCTTGAGACCACCACACTAACCTCTGATGAGTGGCGTCAACTAGTATAGAACTGGTGGTTCATCTCAGAACCCCTCTTCAACGGACAGAAGAGAGTGTATTGAAACTTGCAAACTGCACGCTCTCCATCGCCGTTAGGTCGATATCGCTAAAAAGTAGGCTTAAATGCATCTTTCCGAGGGCTCAGTTGTTTAACTCTGGCATCCATGGATAATAGCCCTTGTGGCATCCCCCTTCCCCACTCTACCTCCCCCCCCCTCCCTGCACTTCCCCGCCAGGTTCCAGCACTTCTTGTTAGTTAGCCCAAACAAATTTCGGGTGCCCATTTATACAGCTGAGAGGAGAGAGGCACAGTACATCACTTACCAGAGAAGACACAGGGGAATAATCTTGACAGCGGCACACAAAAGGAATACAAAACCGTTGAATGTATGTCCGAGAGTTCTCAGATACACGTTGTTAAACAGCATCGCGCCAAGAAATTGTGAGATGACGCTAAAAATGCCATATGCACAAAACAAAGAACCTGCAAAAGGGAAAATTATCATTACAGAGGTGATGTCTTACTGGAAGAGAAATAACACATAGCATTCAGTGTATAGTCATTCCACACTGTGGAGGGCAGGACTTGTAATTTAAAGGGTCATTCTCAACTAGTAATGCACTACGCACGGGGGCAGCATGAATTGGAGGCCAATTATGGCCATTTAATTTCGGTGCAACTGGGGGTTCCTCGCGGAGTCGTTCTCACGGATTCCATGTAAAATGATTGGGTTTTTTCCTTACTTAGCGTTTAGAGGTCACCGGTGCTCATTGACCAAGTGCAATGTCGGATCGATCTCGCGCAATTTATCACATCTTGATAAAATTAGAGTTTTCGGATAATGACAAAAGCGAACAGCCCTAATGCAAACTGGTTGAGATGGAACAAGGACCCCAGAGCCGCCAGATCTGTAATGAAAGTTCAGGGAAAGAACCGAAAATCCGTAGTAACACCACAAGCGTACTAAAAAGCAGAACTTAAGAATGTTGATAAGTGATACTTCCACTTGGGGAAAATACGAAGAACAAATAGCGCTTTATGAAACCGCTGCTTGATTGCTTTCATCTGAAGGTGTTTTATCCACACTAGAAAGTAGCCACCCACTCTTTCCCAAACTCAAGGCAATTTAAATGATTAACTATCCATTTGTTTGTCTGTTTTTTCGTCTGACTGTCTATGGACCGAGACTGTCTGCCACGCTGTTTGTTTGTCTGTCTGTGTGACGCAAGGACTTGTCTCCCTCTCTGGCTGACGGACTGTCCGCTGTCTGTCTGTCTGTCTGTCTATCTGTCTGTCTACATGTCTGCCCGTCTGCCTGTTAATAGCCTGTCACGGGGGCTCAAGGAGTAACTAATTGAACGTCTGGGAGAGACTAGCGCTAGTCTGTTCACAATGAGTCAATCAATACTTACCCTGCTCATCAGCTCCTACTATTCTTGACATAATGCCAGCAAAGACTGGGGTGACGGTTGTTTTGAAAAAGCCTAGCATTGGCGCTGTGAAGGCAAACAACCAAATCGTACCGTAATATCGTTACAGCTGAAAAGATCATACCATTTAAATACCATTTACGGAAACTGTGATTGCTTATTTACTCGTTTTCAGCAAAAATAAGCAACGAAAATTTGACAGATTGAAGGGTGTGGACGTGTTGTTACGACGGCAACATGCATTGGTATTCCACCCAGACACCCATAGGAGACAAATTGAAGTAACTCGATTTCTCAAATGCGACTGGATATCAGCATTTATTTACGTTTTACGCGTCGTTCCTTTGTCAGTGGACGGTTAAATTATCATTTCTTGTGTTATTGGCCAGTACGCGTCATTTGGGTTCGTTGTTATTGCACTTGGACAGGTTGTTTCTCTGGTGCATCTCGAAGACAGTTCAACTACTTTTATTCACCAAAAACTTAAACTTTTAGACTTTTGTTCCAATTTTGCGAAAGTTGTGATTAACTTGTAACGCGGACTTCGGGTCGTTCTATTCTTTCTCTCGTATGATTATAGACCGAGTTGGACCCAGACTTAGTCGTCCTATTGCCGTTGCTGACAGCGTACTTACAGGTTTCAATTCACCCGTAACAGATTCTTTCAGAAAAAAAAAGTGATTGTACAGTTATACCCACCTAGGAACACCAGCCAAGAGAGAGTTGCAAATGCCAGCAGCACCATTTCACCCATTTGACAAACCATCGAAATCCCACTGGTCACCATCTCACTGAAGAACTTTCTCAGCAACTTGACACCAATGGCACCTCCCAGTCCTGCGATGAACATTCTGTACGCCAAAAAGTACCCAACGAGCTTGGGACTAAAACAGAGGGGGCTCCTCATGACAAAAAGAGCGGTTACACCTCCGAGCCCCTGAGTTGTTAGGGTGATGATTGCTCCAGTGAAGACTAAAAGTAGTAAACTTTTCCTTCCACCTTCTCGCTTCTTTCTGAAGACGTCAACAAGTGTCTTTAAGCTCCTGCAATCGAAGAACTTATTTTTCACGTTGATGGCTCGCACGGGGTTTTCTGGGACCAGGAAAATGACCCAGAGTGCGGAAGCGACATGACATGCCAAAATCAGCCATGTTGGGGCGATGAAGCCGAATGTGTGGATCCATAGACCGCTGGTCAACTGACTCAAGACACCACCCATGAAGACAAGCATCTGTATGATTGCTGTTGGCAAGATTGGGTGGTTAAAGTCCTTTCGACAGGCAGTCTTAGTAATATGCAAACGTTGGTGTGAAAATGTGTATCTAAACACCCAAAGAGGCTGTGATCAACGAAACGTAATAATGAGTTCCTATGCTAATGAGCCGCTTGGTAGACAGGAAGCAGAGCAGGGTTTGACCACATATCTTTCAAGCTGCCACTTTTCTTGATGCCTTAGTCTACCTCATCCCCCCACCCCATTCTCTGGGCCAGTTGTTATGAAACAGTCTTTACTCCGCAGTTTTATCACCTCAATGCGACGCTTTGTACATTGCCTCCCTCTTCACCCTCCTCTTGTTTTAGGTACAAGCTTTCTCTGCCCAACATGCCAGTAAGCATAAGGGCAGTAAGTAAGTGGGCTTCTCTCGACAAAAAACTGTACTTCCATGGAAAGTTTCGCTGTAATAAAAGTCGTTTTTCTTACCTATTCTAAAGGCCACTCCCGTCTTCTCAGTGGTATCAGCAATATACGACATGGAGGCTAACATGAGGGTTGTCAAGAATCCTGAGAAGCCGCTGATCGCTGAGCCCACAAACAGCACATACAAAGGCCACTCAAAGTACATGATCATGAGCACCAATATGGTCTGTAATAAAGTTCCAATGGCAGGCGCCATGAGAGCAGGTTTTCGTCGGCCACTCTTGTCTGTCCAAGGCCCCCAAAATGGTGCCACGATCAGCGAAGGTATGGCCATAAAGAACGTATTTCCCAAGTCGATTTTTGTGGCCAGACTTTGGACCTGATGGAGGGTGATTTTAAAAAGTAAAGTTTGGTTGTTTAAACGTCAAGCTGTTTGCATGATGCATGTATGCCGAGGAAAAACGCCAAAAGCCTATACATGTATCTTCATGAGTTGTAACCTGTAATTGATAAGGCCCAATGGTTTTCTGGTAAGAGGCGTGTACTTATCTGCATACTAGGAGACCGTATACGAACATTAAAGCGTTCAGCGACAACAGAACTGAGCTGTGATCATTAAATGCCTCAAGAAAGAGATGTACAATTTTGCATAATAAGTCAACCTATTTTCGCATTTTCAGTGATTGGTTCTTACTTATGTTCAATTGGAGGACAGACCCATAGATGACGTTATTGAAATTTCCAGAAAAAAGGCACACGAGGCGATAGCCAAGTGTGTCATTGATGTATGCTCAATCAAGTGTACGTTGACGGTTAAGTTGCACATCTTCCTATTTCCATAACTGCAGCAAATGACTAGCCTATAGCAAAACCCTAACGTCAGCATATCTGTTGCACAAGGTTGACAACACACTTTACGTCGAGTGGTATTACGTCAGTGAACGGCATATCATTTCACTGGTCACCTTACCTGTTGTTCAAGATCCTTCAACGTAGAATTGAGCTCAGTGAAATTGCAGCCAAGCCCTTCTTTTTCCACCACAAGTTCATCGTAAGGGAAGCCCCTTTTCTCGCTGAGGGTGCTGTAAACATATTGATCCCAGATCGGCATGCTAGTCATCAGTCCGAACGTGTAAAGCAAAATGACTGGTTCCACTGTTAGGTATCGTCTCCATCCGGGAGATATTTTTCGAGGCATTGTAAATGAGCGTCTGTCACTGCAATCTCAGAATGCCAAATCGCTAAAAAAGAGGTGGATAAAAGATGATTTGTTGTCAAAGATCCTTTTTACGACAGCAAATGTCTTGTAATTCCTGTTCAATGGATTAAAACACAGGGCTGATTGCATGACTGGTTAGTTTGTTCCCACCTAGTTACAATATCACAATAGGTTCAGAAGGAATTTTATTGCCTTGTGAAGGAGCTCAGTCATGGTATTTTGAATTATTCTGGCCACGCAAAAAATTACCTTTAAATTGAAGGAAACCGGAAAATAGTAGTTTACTAATATAGAAAAACACCAAAGAGATAATAATAATAAGCCGTAAAGGAACAAGGATGGTTAAGGATGGAGAAGATAAACTCAGATTGCAAACGACGAACGTGAAACTTTTCAAGACGCGCGAAAGGTGACGTAGCTCCTTTATTTAATGTTACTTTTTGGGCCTCTGGATGTTGCTTTACTTAATTCACATCACTTTGACTGTGGCTAGCATCCTATATAAAAGACGCCAAATTATATTTGGGTTCCTTAAGATTTGGCCAGTCAGAGTCTTGTCTGTGGGTCCCCCTGACTCTTGTGCGCTCTCGTTGACAAACTTCAATTGCTTATAGAATCGACAACAATTTTTGCTCCTTGACAGGCAACTGCTTTCAGCTCATTTGGTCTCGCGATAGGGCTGGTCAGTACTACTTGAAGAATCTGAGAGCTGAGAGATGCGGAAAACGTCCAAGGAATTCTTATCTCTGAAATCATCTTAAAAAATTGTGCGACGTTACAAAAACTTTTACAACAGTCAGCGATTACATTAGCATTTGTATCACGTCTTCACTCAAAGCTTGCAGAAAAGATCGTAAAACTCACCCTCCGCTCTAAATTTGGACCTGTTAAATAAATTTGCAGCACTTGCTGGCAATATTTGCTCACCAATATAATGAACTAAAAGAGTTGTATTTGTCTATTGTTTGTTTGTTTTCACATGTCAGAGCTGTAAGAAATTTTAGGGAGCTCAGCAGCCTCGTTCCCAGAAAAAACCTTGGAAAGCCTTGGGAACGAGGTTGGAAGTTAAGCTCAAGATATTTTACAGCTTCCGAAATTACCTCGCTTCTGTGTTCGATTAAATTGTTGTGTAAATATGTGAAAAGTGCCGTGAATGAAAATGGCTATTACGCAATCAGCTGCATTACGAAGTTCAGTGTACGTCAAATCTTCAAAAAAAAAAACGTTCAGCCAAAAAAGGGATGATTTTGAGACATCTTTCACGTAGTCTCAGGTTCGTCCGTCCTGATAAAACATCGCAACCCATGAAAATGAAAATTGAAAACAACCGTGACACACAGAACAAGACAATAGTAGCTTGATATTCAGGTCATTTCAACACTCAAACGAAAAACCTGCCTCTCCGGCCGGTTCTCAACAATAGCTTCTTAAAGACGTTTCAAATTCCTGTTGATGAAATGAAAACTAGTACAAACTACTAAGACAGACAGGAACATTTACCCCAAGAAAAATAGACACAACTTAATAAAAAGCCCAAAATTTTGATTCTAAAGATTTCGTAAATTATATTATGTCAGACGTACACTACTAAAGCTGTGCAAACATACCTAAGCTGCATTTTCTATCAGTAGAACTGATTTTAAGATGGAAACGACGAGTAAAAATCGAGTTCCTTACTTGAGAGACAAGATTGTCCAGTGAAACAAGTACTTGTTTCTTATTGTCTTATAGTTTCCAGTGTCAGCGCAATAAATCAGTTTAGGATTGCACCGTCCCCAGACACAATGATGCACATCAGAAGTAATATTTTCGTTGCCTTGGAGGCAGATCAGGTACCGAAACAGTCTCTTCCTACGGAAACTGATGTAAACGTGAAACACCATAGCTGCTATTTACGGTAATCCGTACAACATGACTCTTGTAAAGCCGAAAGCCATTCAATCTTCAGTATTTTTGAGACTGAACTTTAATTTGCAATGCAAGATGACTATGCAGGTCAAAGGATGTCAAAGAATGACATGACAAAGCAAGTAATTTGACTTTTTATTCTAAAAGACGAGAGATATTTAAGAAGCAACAGAATAAAAAGGTTTGGACCGGAGCAGGCTAAGTTAGTTGCAACAGAGTCCACCTACCTTTTCTATACAGATCTACTCTTTTAGCTTCGTCCCAAATCGACAATGATCCTCTATTTGTGTTTTGCGTCATTAAAGGCGTCATATATACATTTCCTATTTATTTACCTACTGTAACGGAATCTTTCCCATTGCCCTCGTCACACTATGCGATTGGGAGTGGGTTGGAGATGTTGAAACTTCCCACTCACCATTCACCATTGAGGCGCGATTTCTCGTATCCAATATTTAGAATCCTGCAAGCTGAACTGCTTCAACACAAGTTGCAGGGATTACAGTTTGTACCCCCAGGTCATAATTTGGATTCCCCCAAATGATTACCTCACATGCATGTCTTTAGTAGTCAGAGTTTTGAGAGTTCAGCGTAAAGTCCCGCGAACTGCAGGCATAATAAATTGCATGTTGACCGCAATCTAACGAGAAATAACTACTTACTGCCGGAAGAATGCGGAACATCCTTCTGATGACTGGTACTTTTTTTTTGTTATATTCTGCATTCTATTATTGACACTCTAGCTCAAAAAACGCAGTAAATTACGCCTTTGGCGTGATGTTTCTACTATGATTAATCACATACCTTTATGATTGTGGAACAATGTTTATAATGCTGATACAAATTATGGAGACAATCTTTTTAGGTTATTAATTTTATTCTTGTGATCTTCTGATTTATTTTATCACTGATTGTGATGTATTTTACTTTTTATTTCGATGTAAATATGATTAGAACTAGGATTATAATTTTCACTTTAATTTTTTATTTGTGAATAGTTTTAATACAAAAATTTTGTAAAGCGCATGTGAACATATCCACATGTTAATACGCGCTATAAAAGTATCATTATTATCATTATTGTTATTGTTATTATTATTATTATTGTCATTATTATTATCATCATTATCATCATTTTCATTATTATCATTATTATCATTAGTATCATTAGTATTATTATTATTATTATTACTATTTCTAAGAATGAACTTGAGACAAAATGGAAGGTATTGTGCCATTGTTGCAGTTTCTGACTTCAGAAAGCGGCGGAAATCGAGCCTACATTATAGTATGCGATATTTTATTATATTCGATTCAAATACACAGGAAATGTAATGTTTATGATGTACGAAGTTGATCGATGTATGAGACCATTTGTCTAAAAGCAGTTTTTATTTAAAGTTTAAAAAGCTGCTGAAGCATGTTGTTTTGAGTTTGACCCCAAATCAGATATTCTCGAACCCAGGCGTACTCGACGCCTTTTGAACGCAACGGGCCATGGGACGATCAAATCAACTGCGAGGATAAAAGTTGTTATACCGTACTCATTGTCGGTGCTCGCAGTCATAGAAGGAAAACGAGGATTACTGCCTTCTTAACGGCGTTGATAATGTATTTTCTGTTTTTTTTTTTTTTTCTTTCTGATAAGACTTGACGCGGTCGCTTATCAATACATTCTCTAACTCATTAATAATTCATCGAGTTTAACAAAAGGAATCACAACTGTGACGGTGTTTAGATATCTGATCTTAATTAGCATAGATTTTTACGATTTTATTTCTCCTTAGTTTTAGTTTCGATTGACAAGACATATAAAACACTCAAGGCAGTTTTGTTTGACCACATTTCCAAACACCTCAATTGCAAAATTCGTCAAAAATACTCCGCTGCGAGTCGTATTTTCAACTCCCTTCTGGCGGTGTTAGGAAACGTGGTCAAACGCGGTCTTTCGTTCTCAATATATTACATACAATACTTGAGACGTGCAGAAGTTACTGGCCTTTGCATCAAAATCTTTCTAAACATCTTGCGCGAACTTTGTCCTGATGGTTTCAAAGACAATCAATTAGCCTCTTGGGTTGTAATAAGGTTAAGTCGGCGTTAATAACGTGTCCCTGATGATATATTATCGAAAGACCTTTTTTCTAAATCTCATTTTGAGTTGTAAAATCCCGACAAATGTACAAACAAAACGCGTAAAAAGATTCTAAGCGAAACAGAACGAGTAGTTATAGAAAAAAATCAGGGGTTACAAGGATGGAGTGTATTTATATAGACTTCGTTAACTTTGATTTTGTTAACCGGGTGTCAAGATATCAAGATTAAAACTGGTGAAATTTCGTACGATTTGGTCACTAGTTTATCTTTTTTATTGATATAGGTCTGCTCTTACCACTTTTGGCATTTTTCTCTCTTTTGCAAGATAGTAAAGTTTATATGCTCGCGTACGTACCTATTAAACAACGATAAGCTAGCCAGGACTTATAACATTTCATATAATTCTACGTTTGGAAGAATTTCGGGATTTTGTCCCAGATGACTAGGTATTATATAGACATATTTCAATCTGTGTACTGAAACTTGGCCTATTTCTTTTGCTCCAGACTGCTCACCACTGCTTCCTCGTTGTATTTGGTAAAATCGACCCATGTGTTGCAATAATTTTCTGTTATTTCCTTTTCGGTAAAATACGGATCATTTAAGACCTCTTGTCCTCATATCAAGGTTCGTGTGACCCATAATTTCCGTGTTTACTTCTCGACTCCGGATATATGCTTTGATATGGACTCCACGTGGCCAGCAAAGCTCCGTGTCAGTATGCAAATGACCAACCTTGCACATTGACTTTTATAGTATGGACCATTCAACACAAAGCAGGGTCTCTGTTTTGAGCATTCTTTGCAGCATTGAATGCTGTGTTCCTCCAAACAAAAGTGGAATAAACATCAGCCTTTATACCAACGTGGTGTTTCGCTGTAAATAACTCAACGGGGGTTCATTTTAAAACGCGTGGTCCTCTTTTATTGTATAGAGCGGCGGAACAAAAGAAGACGAATGAGTGGCATTTTTCCATGTAATCTTGCGAGCATTAACGGTCAGGGGTTATCGCTCTGTCTTCTAAAAATGGCAATTGAGCCTTGTGTCTTTTTGAATACCGTTTTAATGTGCTGTTTACTTACTCCGACGGTTAACACTCATCGCCATCAGTTGGATGGGAACGACCGAGTGCAAACATCGGACATTGCTCTGCGTTTACATTGTCAGGCAACATTCTCGATTCCATCTCGGCTAAGGTATGGTTAAGATATAGCTTTTCACAAGTGACTTCTCTCCTAACCTCTCTCGAGTATAAGTGCCGCAAAGTATAGTTCAAGTGTGTGTTAATCCAACGAGGTGATCAATCTAGTGTTCTCTAAACGCTGTAAAATTCAAACGGAGACCTGCAGGGACATCGAGTTTGCAAAATTCGAAGTTCTATATATTCAAACTAAGTTCGGTGTGCAAAGTCAAAACATGCATCGTCATCTTCCACAAAAGAGTCTTGTTATTTTCATCAAAGCAGAATAGTGAACGCAGATAACCTGCAAGGTGCAAAGTAAACTTAGTTATTTGTCATGCTAGAAGTTGATAATCACTTCCGTCCCAAAAGTAAATACGCTGGTCACTAAATACTCGATCCTTAGACTGTGTGCTTCGTTTGCATGCATTATGACTTTCTAGTCAGTTCCCCTCGCTATTTATGTTCCTTGCATTTATCATTGGCGGGTCAAAGTAAAAAATCTATCGTTCCTTTTTGTATACTGAGTTTCCTAAGCAAAGTAGTAATGGATGAGCAAATACGAAGCACAGAACACCAACGTATAATTTTGCCATACAGTTATTTTATAATATTTTCTTCCATCATTTTGCTATAGTGTTAACAGCTCGTGCAAGCCCTAGGCGAAGTCGCCAAACGTCGTGTTTATGAACAAGTTGCACTTGTGGGTGTCAAACATTCAGTAAGTAAGCGAGTTTCTGAGTCCATTAACAAATGATTACCTTGATTTATCTTTGTTTCTGGGTTAGACGATTAATTGCTTAAGAAAACATCGGCCTTGCGGCAAAAGAGTTATGCATATTTAGTTTGCACCTGAATGCATCAGTAGCCAGGCAAATCCAAACATAACTTCATTATTCAGTAATGGTATAAACATAACTTTTTGTCGTGATAACGCCATGATAATAATTTATAATCAATACTTTATTACTGGGTTGTTAGATATGAAGAAGACAGTCTCGAGAAGTCCGTCCTCAAGCAAACACAGTCCATCACGTAAGATCAAACCTTGCCATTGTTAAGTTTGTTTATTTAGTTGACATATTAGTTAGTTTCATTTAGATTTAATTAAATCTTAAGTTTGTTAAATGTTTGTTTAGATCAATGTACAAGTTAACATGAAAAACCAGCAGCTCTGAACAAATGCTGTAACTAAATTCCCTGTCTTTTCCTTCTTTCTCCGTGTTTTTTCTTCTTTTTTTTTTTACCATATGAGAAAGCATTCCCTGATTAAATTTAAACTTGTCAGACCATGCATTTCAGGATATGTAGTATCGTTAAAAAACTGAAATAGGACTTCAGTTTGTCTTTTGAAGACCATGCTTTTGGAAGACCCTTCTTGCTTCTTGTACTTTATGCAGATAATAATTTTTCAGGGTTTTTCTAATTTTCTTTCTAACTGCTCTCGCAAATTCTATGCAAGGATTGGCCTGCTAAGCCTCCTCCGAGGGCATCAAAGAAGCGGAGACTGTTAGGAGAAAATGATGCTCGGATACAAGCCAACGCCGACGAAATATTTTCTCCTTATTATTTTCGTTTTTCCATCGTGTTCAAGGACGACCGAAAAAGCCAACAAAGCCTTACAAGAAATATAGAGAAACCTGAAAAATTCAATAGCGCCGAAAAATTAAACAAAAAGACAGACTTAATGTGTTTTTTTCTCGGTTGAAGATCTTAAAATATTGCTTTCCGCACTGACTCAAGGTTAAAACGAAATACCAAAAAAGCTCGCCTCGAATGGAAAAGAATGATAGATTGCACGTGCACATGACATTTCGTAAAGAAATGGCCACAATCTCTCTAGATGACGTTCGCGGGAAAGGCACCTGATGTATTTAATTCCTTTTTATTTCGGAAAATTTTAGCGGTATAAGTATTAATTGTCTTATAGCATGCTCATTTATATTAGCTTATACTAGTTTTTTGGAGGTCTTGATACAATGTTCTTGGTTGAAAGGTAGAACGCTTAAGAAAACCGTTGTGGTTTAAAGATGTGAGTCGACAACATTCTACTACACGGAGTAAACTAAGTTTGAAACAATGTACAACGCTCTAAATCAAAGCAGCTGAATATTGAAACAGAATGCAATGATATAGCCATAAAACATTTTTTAGCAAATATTTAAATAAATCCTTGGAACCTTTTAGTCGCCTCTATCTAATTGATATCAAATGACAAGCACCATAGCATTACGTTAAAAAAAAAAAAAAAAACCATTGTGGACACAAATTAACTTGCTTAAAAAATCCATGGCTATTATTATCATAAGCCAAAAGAAATGATATAAAAGATGGCGGCTGTAGATTTTACCACAATATCTTGCGAACCTAGCATAGCCCATTTGGCAAAAGGAGAGCCATATTTTGCAATATTTGTCCCTGTACTAATGACATTGTGTATGCTTGGTTTGAAGCTTGTAGCATTTTTCTGTTTGTCTTTATGAATGTTGTTAAGGTTTTTGTGCGCTGAGATGTACCGGTCGCCATCTTTGTTTCCTAGGGGAATTTTAAGACCTGATCATCGTGATTCAAGATAACCATAGCTAACGACTTTATGTCTCATTTTCACGCGTCCAAAACGTTTCGAACAATTATTGCGAATGAAATGTCGTAGTTGCTAAATGAATGTAGACACACCGTCATGCATAGCTGCATAATTTTGCAACCTGTCACAAATTTTCAATTAGTTCTAGAAATTTCCAATTAACCCTCCCCATTATTAAACTCTTCAAAGTGAATTCAAAAATTCATTTCAGGGGTCTTACCTGTCTAAATTTAAACGTTCTTTGAATTGTCAATGTTGATTAGCTTATGTTATTATGACATACTTTCCGGGAATGAGAGCATCAAAGATTTCTATCTCTTGAGGTTTTTTTTCTGACCCTGAGCAATTTTGGAACCTTATATTTTGCCAAACACGGAATGTTATTATTTTTCTGGAAAAAAAATGCATTCATTATTACATTTATCAGAGCGCGTTTTCGACGCGTTGAGTTTCGTTTTTACGACCGCACGACGCAAATGAACGTCTTTAACAACTACGGGGAACACCCGAAAATCTTTCAAGGTTATCGTAGTTTATGAAAAGTGATCATCTGTATATAGTTTATGAGCAGAACTTGTAACGGAATTTCTTCGACAACTGCAAAAAAGGCTGTTTAGTAGAACTTATATGCACTGACTGACGGTGTAACCTCCGGCGATATCGGAAGACACTGTTGAAAAGTTCCTATAACCAAAGTAATTGTGATTTGGGGCTGGAGCAGTGTCAATGCCTTTATTAAAGGTCAGTCAACACATGAGGTCTTCATTAAAATAAATTCAGCTTGTTATCAACCAAAGTCTTTTGCGCATACGCTGACAAAAAAAAAAGAACAAAATAAAGTGGGCAAGCAAGATAGTACCGTTTTCTACGTTTGAATCGTGCGAAATTAGAAGCAAGTTCCACATTTTGAATTGATTAAAGCAATTGACCGCCCGCGATGTTCTGTTGCTAAACAAGTTTCGTACACAAAACACTGTCCAGCAGTTTACACTTGCTCTTGTCAAACATCAAAATCACATTTTACACCTGTTAATTAACTGCTGTCCTGTTTTCTCTTTTTGTAAGAAGGTCACTTTGTTAGTTGTTGTGTGAACCAGATCTGCTCAACGACAGGAAGCCAACGTGTTTTCGTCTCGTTATAGAACGAAACAGGCCCTTCAATATATTTACGAGCTTTCAAGATATTTGATAGTCCCGTGGCTCAGTTCATGGTTGGAATATTTTTACCATTGTGTGCTACTGACGTGTTGTTAATTAGTTCACAAAGTAAAGTCGCTCTTCCGAAACTCAACATAAGTAGTGGCCGGTATTAGAACAATCTTCAACTGGATTTTCTGACTCCTGCCAAAGAAGTACACAGACATGCCTTTAAAAAATGGTCAAGGTTAGTCTAATGATGTTCAAATGTTTCTTTTCGTTGCTCAGTGGTTTCTTAGCGTTATTATTTTACGAGGTGAATTATTTATGCCAGTTCCAGCGTGTCATGTTATGAACTGCATATTTCTTGGGTTGTTTATAACGAGCTCTACAGAATAGGAAGAGTAAAGATAGATTAAGAGACCACAAAAGTAAACAAAACCCATGAAAACGTGTTATCAACTGCCAGGAAAGAACTGGCATGCTAAACAGACAGACGAGTGCTAGCGACCGTAATAATGTGACCGTTAGCTCTCTTAGAAATTTCGTTCTCGAATTTGTATTAAAGTAAAGACGCTTTCCTTTGTGGGATTCCATACAAAATATTTCTGTGTGAGATTCTATGTAAAGCTTTTGTTGTAGTTTTACACTCAAGCAATATATACCAGCTATCACTCAGAACAGAGATGAAACGTGATTTCATCGTGTTCAGAGTTTAACTCGAAGATCTATCAAGCGCATCTTCCTAAACTTCTGACGAAACTCTAGTTGTGTGGAATGAAATGTCATTTACTTTTCGCTTCGTTCGATAATTTGAAAAAAGATGGCAGTCTGTCGCTAAATTTAACTCAATACGGTTATTCGTATCCTCCCATCTTTATCAAATGGAGTTAGAAGCATTGTGATTGAGGTGGAATAGACTTTTATACGATGCGTTTATCTTGATTTTGTCTGTTTTCCAAGTTATAATTGAGACTGTTCAAGGGGGGTCTGTATTAGGGGACGCATGTCCAAAGTGAAACTTTGAACAACGTCGTTCCCACACGAGGCTATAGTGTGAATTGTTGTGAGCAAAGATTTACACGTGAATACCGAGAACATTAATTAATAACCAAAAAATAACTGATGTAAGTGAAAAAGGCCCTTTTCGAAAATCGCAACTTGACGAGAAGTGAAGTTTTTCACCGAGTTCCATTTCAACCAGTTGTCACATCTTTTCATTCCAACGTTTTTCAGGACAAAATTTCACTTGGTTGCAATTTGCAAGTTATACCGATCATTTGACCGAGAAGTCTTTCGCAATTTTGTAACCGTGTAAGCTGCACAGATTTCCGTGACTGTTAACATGATTTAATCTATCAGGGTGAACTCTTGGTCTCGTCAGATTTCAAAGATTGCCATAAACAAACCTAAGGGAAAAGAAGCTTTTGGACTTTTAAGAGCCGCGCCGTGTGTTTGTATATGGAAGTCAATGTTATACCAATGTTATCTGATCCCCTGCCGCCAGGAAGTAACTTTTTCCTCGCTCTTCCTGCAAAACAGTTGCATTATTTTTCTGCTTCCTTCGTGACTGTTAAGTTTGGATTGGAGCAAGAGGCAGACCTCACAGTTTACCAAAAGCCTTTCAGAAATGGTGTGCAATCTATGCGGGGAAATTGGTCATTTGACAATCTCGTCTTAGTCCAGTTAGTTCTCGGGGGAACGGTACTTCCATAAAAATTGGCTTGGGGTGTGCAGCCCGCTTCCCAAAACCCCTACCCTATTCAAGACTGAAATCTGTGATTTTCCCTACCCCATTTATGACCTGACCAAAAATTCGATACCCTATTTAAGACCTGACCCTTAAATCAATGCCCTGTTTCAGACCTACCTTATAAGTTCAATAGTTCAGACCGATGTTAATGGCATTGTGAAAGACTTTTGATGATGGTCTCGATAATAATGATGAAGTAGCTTCTAAAAAAAAACCATACCCAATTCAAGACTGAAGTGCAAAAACCATGCCCTCTTTGAGACCAAAATGGTCAAAATCGATGCCCTATTTCTGACTAAAATGTCTAAAAAGCCTTAGCCTTTGGGGCTGCACATACCTATGTAGCCCATATAAGGGAGTACTCACCTCACCCCACCCCACCCCAGGTAGTTAATTTGACTAAATGCACATTGACCTTTGTTGACAATCATTTACTTCTCAAGAGCCAAATATACTGAAAAGATACGGTTTAAACAGGATAAGCACCACTGTTGTTGATTTGTGGTCTTTTACATGGTGATGCTGGTGGTGTTGCCACGCTATCTTACCACCCACCACAATCTTGAAGATCTTCATCCGTTCGTCTCACGCATCTTTCCTTCGCAAGGTTCCCGCTTCCTTCATCCAAATTCTCTCCGGCAATACAACAATGGTGAATTTCTATGTTTTTCCTTTTTCAAAGATTGCAACTACAACTTGCGGTTAACCTTCATAGCGAGCATTCCCATTCAACTGATGCTTTTCCGCATATTTTTGCAGGTTTTGTTCGCCCGAAAATGCGCAACGCTTGCATTTGCTCTACAGTCTATTGAGTGTCAAGGATGTTGATTTGGATTACTAAATTATGGAACGCCAGAACTGTCTTATGATATCTTTTTTTTATTATATTGGGTGGTTATGTCATTATATTTAGTATTTATGTTATTATATTCGGTGATTAACTCATTATACTCGGTGCTTATTCAATTATACTCGGTGCTTATGTCTTTATATGCGGTGCTGTCTTCA